ACGCACCAGGTCCCCGGTTCGATCCCGGGTGGAATCATTTGTTTTGAAGCAAAATCCTGTGTAATTTGTTGGCATCCATCAATAAATTTTCACACCATTTGCGTGCCTTTTCCCTCAAAAATGGGGTCCACTACAGTTTTCTTAGTAACAAGATGCACAACCTGTAGAATGGTGATTATTTGCGCGATCAAGCGGGTATCTACAGGGTGCGGAACGAAATGATGAGGTAAAGGCCCAGGTGTGAGCGCTTGAGCGACGGCTGTCGTAGCCGGAGAAATAAATTTATTGCCCTTAGGTTTGGGCCTGGAGCAGCTGTGCACAATGGAGCGTGTGCAAAACTCCATGAACGTTTGTCTTCTGTCCTGCTCTGTCGTGATAGCTTCCAATTGTATGCCCCAAAGTGGAAACCCAAGCATAAACCGTCCTTGGATGCACTCGTCCGGTCCCTTTGCACCTCCATCCCTCTGAATAGTTGCAGAACTAGAACCCGCAACAGCACGTCCACTCCTCGTAACTCCTCTCTTACAGCGGCTTCGCCGATTGTTGGCTAGATCATGCCTGCCGCCGAGGACTGTCCGAAGGATGATGTCGTCGATATAGACGCTCCAGGCCCTCCGATATCTGTGCCGGATTCAAGTGACGGAGGAGAAGGGGGAAAACTGAAGATGATCATAGCGTTGGTCAAGAAGTCGCTCGGGGTCAAGGATATCGCGGCAATGTTCGTACTCCTCGTTGTCGGTGTCTATGATCTCAACCTCCTCCTTTGATTGTAGGCGGCTTTCACTGCCAGCGTCGCTGCTCGAGCCCATCCCCAACCTTGAATATTGGCATTATTTAGATAGACCGGACTTATTTGCTGCGTGAGTGCGGGAGAGTTCGTCGCTGGTGTTTCACGCTAACCGTTCACGTTGCAGAATTAACGACTCTGATGATCCTTTTGAACGAATGCTCGCTGTGATCAGATTTACATTTACGAAAGACCTTAAATTCATAGTGAGTTGGGGTTTCTCTAACCTTACATCCATTCTAAACCCCCCTATCATAGCATGGCAAGATATGCAAACCCTATAATTCTGTCTTGGGCGAACACTTCCGTGCGCACTGGGACATAATACCCGTTGAGACTCCTTCGGATCCCAATCATCCACCCATCCTGAAGCATTACACCACATCGCCGGCTTGCTCTCCGCCCATCGTCGCCCTCGTGAACGGCGCCGGCCCCTCTGAGACCGCCAGCGTAAAGAGCGGCAAGAGCTCCAAGAGCACACGTAGTGGACTTAGCGCTCTCTCTAAAGTCGGAAAGAGCCCGTCGACAGCTCCAACCTCTCCACAACAGACCGTGGAAACAAATGTGGACGCACAGATGTCGGATCTCAGCCTCGGCGAAAACGACAATACTGGCTCAGCAGACGGCGATTCTGACAGTGTCGCTCGCGTGCGGGTCGTATATGTGACGGAGCAAGTGTCGCATCACCCGCCTGTATCTGCTTACTACACGTCGTGTCCTGCGCGCTCGCTCGAGATGACTGGCATAGACCAAATTACCGCCAAAGTGTCCGGCACGACATTGCGTGTTGCGCCAGGCTCGCATAACAAGGGCATTTATATCAACATCACAGGCGGACCTGGCGAAGGCGAAAAATACCATATCACACATCCTATCGCTTCGGTAAATGGCATCTTGAGAGGTAGTTTCTACCTCACGGTCGGCGATACGACGATCATCACCTGCACGGGCGGAAAGTCAGGCCAGATGTTGAGGACTCTTATTGACTATAAAGAAGAGGTGAGTGCGATGTTTCTGTTTCTGACAATCATTCGTGCGCTCATGCATTCATCGCAGTCGTGGCTTGGCAAAGCGCATTTCCTCCTTGAGGGAGTCATTCACACTTACACTATAGGTGATACCGAGCACGAAGCATGGACTAAAGTCAGGCACGTCCCCCAGTCGCGCGTCGTAGCCATCTTCGACGGCTCTTGGAAACACCATATCAAATGGCGCAGAACGGGATCCACCAACTCCTCAGCGGCTACATCCGCATCGGACGTTACCAGCACTGCCGAGACAGGAGAGTATTCGACATTGCTTGATCTGTCAACGCTCAAGGTTATTCCGAAGACTGTTAGACCTATCGAGAGGCAGTTCTCGAACGAGAGTCGGAAGTTGTGGCATGACGTTACTACGCGGTTAATCAAGAAGGAGTATGGGGAGGCTACAAAGTATAAGTTGGCGATTGAACAAAAGCAGAGGGATGAGGCTGCTGAGAGGAAGCGACAAGGCGTCGAGTACGTGTCGATTGTCATCCGGCCCTGATTCACCGCTGACCTGCATGACATCCAGGTTTATACCATTGTATTTTGAGAAGGATATATCGTCCGGAACTCCTACGCTTACACGAGAGGGCCTCAAAGCCGTAGAAGACGAACTGGGGGAGAGCTCACCGCATTGTCTGGAAGGCTATGACGAGCCGGCTGGGAAGTCGGCGGGAGTGGGGTCATAACAATCGAGGAGACTTCTTGCATAACGGACTTCGTTGCACATTGTGGATTACCGTCTTTTCACCTCATAACAATTCACGGACTATCTTGCTATGCTCTCCATTTCCCCGTTAACTATTACCCCCGGTTTATCGGCACTTGATTCGCAATTGCAAAGACCAAATGTCTCATTAAAAAATGTTATAATCAATCCATGTTAGAACTCTTGAGATGGCTTGAATCTGTCTTGTAAAGCTGCCACAGCCAGTTTCGCACTGCTCTTCAACTTGCCCTGCCTTCCGGTGCCCGCTTCGCCATCCGTGGTCTCCGTTCGTTCCGTATACCCAAACCCTAACCGCTCGGCCATCCTCTGAACATCCTCGTCCTCTCGGCCCCATTCACCCTCTTTTCTCTCCCGGTCCCACCACTCTCCCGCTGTTTCACGAAGACGTGGATCACGCATAACGGAACCACGCGTAAATTTCAGTAAATGTATTCGGGCGAGACTTTGCTCGAGAAGACCTAGTGTTGATGGTAAGGATGCCATCGGATTGGCGGCTGGGGGGGAGGACGGGAGGACGCGAAGTACGATCGGAAGGATGAGGAAGAGGATGTGTCGGTAAGCCCATAAGACATCATGCCACTACAGCCGATGCATGAGGAAGAAGTACGACAGTCAAAATAATCTGCATCACGTACCATGACGACTCCCATTCCATCCTTAGGTATCTGAATCTGCACCGTCGACACCCAATATCCTTCAGCCACGGCAGCGCAGACAATGGCGCCTATGGCCAAAGTCCGCCATCGTTCTTGGTGACTTCCACTTATCGTGAGGATTCCGACAACGACTGTTTCTCGAATATATTCGAGAAGCGGCCGAGGGAGCGCGTACAGCGCGTATTCGTCATATGTATGACAATATTCGCAGTCTTGCAGGACTGATTGGCCAAATCTAAATAGCAACGCATGTAGGCAGGATTAGTCAATGTCACAGAGATTCGATCAGAGGAAGATATTGAACAGAACCTGACATATATATTTCTAGCATCAAATGACGAGAGCCGTTTCAAGAGCGTCTCCAGGTGCTTTGGAAGCCCAGGAGCTGGGCCTGATTCCACACTCGAATGCTTCAATAGCTCCGCACGAATCTTATCGGAGGACATAGTAAGCGGTATATGAAGCCGCGTGAAGATATTTGGAGGGGTTTTTACTAGCAGGATGTATAAAATATACAGTGTGTGTGGCAGGACGAAAATATTCAGCCATGCGTGAAAGGCGGATGGTGTTTCAGGATTGGAATGGGATGGACGGAGTCGGCGGCTGAGGTAGGCCCAGGCAGATATCATGATCGTAGAAGTGAATAAAAAGGCATCAAGGGAGGCGCTCACTAGTGCCATGGCGAACTAGGTTCGAGTTCAAGCCTCAACGCTCAAATTTGGACATATATTAGCGAGGAAGAATTCCAGCCAAATTGGCAATACAAATCGATGTAACTTCAAATTTATGAATGCACGGATGAAATGTGATAAACGTGCGTAACGATATGTTCGCAATTGGTCAAGGTGATAAAAATTGAACTGCGGCGGGATCGAACCGCCGACCTTCTGTGATGCATCAGATAATAACAAGAGATGTAAGACAGATGCCATAACCGCTAGGCCAGCAGTCCCGTTAACAATAATATGTATGGTACTGTTCATTTAGCCACCTATTTTGTGCAATAGCTGTGCATACAACGAAAATTATGAAAAATGAAAAATTTGATATAGATTTGGGCAAGGGGCAGGCGTCGGAGTTCTCGGTGAAATGAGGCCCTCCCGGGTGGTCGTGTGAAAGTGGCTGTGCACGTGCGGCGCCGCAAAGGAAATTCGTGGCACAACTGATCTGATCTTGATTGTACTTCGTGCATTCATCCTCTCAACATCGCGGGGACTTGTAGTTAAATCAAATACTTCATATATGCCTTTGCCTAAGGAGCCTGTGACAGAACCTGTCACATTTTCTTTTGCTGATGCCAAACAGCTAATATCTGTAATTGATCCAGGAACTAAACTGCACTCAGTGATATGTGATCTGTGTGGATCCATGTTGAACCTGGGCATCAGGGCAGCTGGTCATCCTATTATTCAGCATAGGGATAGTGCATCATGCAAGAAGAAGGCCCATTGTGGGATGTCACATACTCCATTTCCTGCGTGAAGTTGAAGATCCCAAACAGTGTGTACAGTCTATTGGAGAGAATCCTTGTGGATTCTGTGGCCAAGATGGCTGTTTCACCCAGCTGAAAGCAAAAAAACATGGTGGACTATCAATTGTATCCAATTGTCCATATCATTATGCTGGAATGAACTACAAAGCTGCAGCACAATTTGCCAAGAGTTCACCATGCACCAATATTCCTATCCATTGCCCTTTGTGTCCTTCTGCTATCTCTGGAGATCCACAAACCATATGGAAATATAATGCAGTATATCATCTGATCAGTGAATATTCCAATGGAAACATACCTCCTTCAATTCCAGGGCAGCTACTAGTGCAAATATTTATGGCTAAAGAAGAAGAAAATGCTCTAGGCATTCATGAGAGGGTCACAAATAGCTGGAGAGAGAGGAATAATATTCCTGATAGCGATGGCTTTCAGGAGTTAGTACAAAATATGCAAAAAAGGGATAGATCAGATACTGTTTCAACCTCATTTTCAGACAGCCATGACCCAAAAAGATCCAAACTAGGGGGCATTCCAGAGTAGTTGATTTTCCAAAGGTGTATTTACATTGAGAATATTGAATTACATGTTTTATTTCCATTTTACTGGAGCTGTGGCACAAATTTAAATCAGTTGTGGCACGAATTTCCTTTGCGGCACCGCGCGTGCACAGCCACTTTCACACAACCACCTGGGAGGGCCTCATTTCACCGAGAACTCCGACGCCTGCCCCTTGGATTTGGGTCAATTTGGTATGGGAAATGTGCATAAAGGTACCTGGAATGGCCTTGCAAGTCTGTTTGGAGCTTTGGAAGTGGTTTTTTGGCCTAACTTTAAGGGGTTAAAGAAAAAGATTTTAGATGCCCCTTACACACCGGCTAGGCCAAAGTTTTATGGTGGGTAACACTTTGGTCTAAACAGGTAAGCAATATATAAAATATTTACAATGCCTAAAATGTGAAGCAATACTTTGAGTGTGAAATCCATGCAAAATGTCAATACTCATTCCAAGTATGGATATACATTTTGATACAATTTAAATGTCATTTAAATTTTAAAATTTTTGTCTGGATAAAATGTAAGCCAGCACTTTAAGTACTGAATTGAGTTTAAACATGGTAACTATTTGTAATATTGTTTGCCATTTTATCGTGGTGAAAACGTGAATGCTAAACTTTAAATATTCATGTGGTCAAATCAATTGCTTGCTAGGACAACAGTCATTTTGACCATGTGAATATTTAAAGTTTAGCATTCACGTTTTCACCACGATAAAATGGCAAACAATATTACAAATAGTTACCATGTTTAAACTCAATTCAGTACTTAAAGTGCTGGCTTACATTTTATCCGGACAAAATTTTTAAATTTTAAATGACATTTAAATTGTATCAAAATGTATATCCATACTTGGAATGGGTATTGACATTTTGCACAGGTTTCACACTCAAAGTATTGCTTCGCATTTTAAGCATTGTAAGTATTTTAAATACTGCTTACCTGTTTAGACCAAAGTTTTACCCACCATAAAACTTTGGCCTAGCCAGTGTGTTAGTTTAGGCTGATCTGGAAGCTCTTTCTGAATGTTGTTGATTGGTATGTTTTACATATGTGCCAATTTGAGTCATCAACAATATTATTCCTCACTCAATTTTGAGCCAATTACAGCTGTATGCAAAGACTTGGTGGAGTGGGCCATTGCTTTGCATGGCATGTACGAGTCAACCTTGGTTTTTATTTAAATTTTTAAGCAGAAGAACTTGTACATAGTGGGCTATGTGCAAGGCATCTAAGACATAACAGCATATTTCCTTCTGCCAGAATTAAAATACTGCTACAAAAAATAAATAAATGTTATACCTTTGGCTACTGGAGATAACCAAAGTGAGAA